GCCAATTGTCTGAACGCGGTTTCTGGGACCTCTCCACGGTTATCCTCATCCACATGGTGGCACTTTGTGTCATCTGGTGTTTATAAAATGTGTGATGTTCTGGTGGCTTAGAACGTCAGTATCAGTATCAATGCTTGGCTCTCATTTGAATGACCAGGGTACAGATCCTTCATACAGGTTTGGATCAGGGACAAAATAAATTCATAACTTGTACAGTCCATGTTGATAGCATTAGCCATGCTTCCATAAATCCTCAGGCACAAAGACCCGCATGCCTTCTAACTTATCTATGTCAAGGGACCGTAATAAGAAGAAGAAAAAATTCTTTCCCTTGCTCTGATAATTATCAGAATATTTGGAAAATATAATTGCAGTAATAAACTTCCATTCTCATACTGTATGTATCATCATCATATTGTGCACCAGTATATGTCACACAGAGCCTGCAGTCTATTCCTCCATTGTGTTCTTTCTTTCTGATAAACATGGATGATCTCTGGCTTCACTCATTAAAGTATTGTAGTGTATGGTGATCATAATTAAATGTTTTGTTAATGTTTTAAAACATTTATAAAATTCGATCCATTTTTAAACTAAGTTATTCTTTTCAACCTGAGATAACACTACTTCGTAAAACTTTCCAAGTTCATTAGTTTAGAATCTATATTTCAGAACCATGTAGAGCAAAGGGTCAGACATCATCATCATCATCATTGTTCTGTTGGGCCATATATATTTCACAGTCTTTTCCTAAGTTCTGAGAACCAGATATGCACAGTGATTGTTAATTTCTACAGTTCAAAATTCAGTATGACATTATGAAAACTAGATATTCCATGGACCTATAATATATGAAGACTGAATGATAGAGAAAACCATCTGAAGAGAAAATTAACTAAAAAACTAAATTTATAAGCTAAAATGAATCTCTTTAAATCTTAAAATTAAATTTTGCAACTGTTTTTTTGTTCAGTACAAGTCTTTCTAAATACTTGTGTTCTTCCTGGTAGGAAGAGAACAAAGATGAAGCAGGCACTGATACAAGCAAAACGGCACAACTTGGGGAAGAGGAAATTAATCAGAGTAATAATAATCTGCTCAACTTAAAAGGCTTGAAGAAATACCTTGCCTCAAAGGTTTTTAAAAAGAAAAAAAAGAAAAAGAAAGAAGTTGAGGTGAAAAAAAAACTTACTGAAGGTGAATTGCTTGAGGAAAAGACAAAAGTTGAAGAAATTAGAAAAGAATTTGAGGTTTGTGTCTTCTCAGATTAACCTGTTCAGTTTTGTCACATTACAGTTTACCTGTTGACTTTTAATGTTTGCACAGTTCTGAATTTTCTTTCTTAAATAATTTAATGGCGGTTGAAAGATAGATTTTAAATTTTCATTTGATTCTTTTTGTTTTTCATATTGCACCATGACTGATCTGGTATCTGTTTTGTGTTAATATTATTTCATTGAAAAACAAGCTTATATAGGTGAATCAAAAGTTATGTTCCTTCAATTTAAGTAGCTTCTGTGTCTGAATAAAAACATAAAATTTGCATTTGACTATTCTTTTGTGATTGGCACTTTAAAAAACATCTTAAGTGAAAAATAAGGATTTTGCATTAGACTTATAGATACTAATTGTGGACGACATATCTTAACACAAGTGGGGCTTGCTAGTCACACTTGCCATCGCCATGGGCTGTGAATCCCATGCCTCCTCATAGCGCAGTATAACACTATCCTCTGGAAAGATGGAAAAGTGCCAATCAAATAGATTCTAACAAATAAATTTAGTTATCAAGATGAATTGCATGCCGAGAAAGTCATCTTCTGTTTTCATTGTCTAAGAAAATGCTGGACATTAAAAATATGTTTAAATATTACTTAATTAGAACAAGGAGATAGCCTTGTTGCTAATAGAAAAATAATCTTTATTGTTTGGATAGATGATCAGATTTATTGCATAGTTTTGCTGAATTTGTGGCCAGATTTTTTTTAAAGCTCCCTACTGTATTTAATTAGTTATAAATGCTTGATTTATGGCAATTATACATACATTTTTGTTTTACTTCATTAGTCTAAAATCTGTATTGATATAACTGTGGAGTGGCAATACAAATTTTATTAAGTTTAAAATTAAAAATTTTAGAAAGGTTTTTTCACAGTTAATATGTATGTGTAGTTGTGTATTATGAAGAAATTTGAAATCTTAGTTTATGTTGGTTTGTTTGCATTCTTTGATTTTATTCTCCAAATGTTGGCTTTAGACAAGAGAATAACAGTAATATTTATTGGTTCATAATAATGTTTTCATAACATAAGCAAGAATGTTAAAATTAGACCCAAAGAAGATTTAAAATGTGGCTAAATTTACAAGCTATGTTTAGAAATTCAGGCCAGTTTACCTATTTAGGTTGCAATTTTGATTGCAAAGTGAATACAAAGAAAGAAATTGTGATACACACTGGCAAGGCGACAGCAGCTTTTAACTCTGAGTCCCAAGGAACACATCATACGTTCATAGATTCCTACCCAGAAGCCCAATGAATGCAAGATGTGCAAATTTTACATCTCTTTTGACTACACCTTGGGCCTGTGATGCTAAACCCCATGGGACTCAAAGAGTTAAAAGCCTGAGCAAAACATGGAAGTTTAAGTTATATAATTTTTAAACCAAATTACACTTACTAATGTTTTTTTTTATTTTCACATAAACAGAAATAAGTACCTCTTGAAATGTATTAAGATTAAATGTAATTAATTCAAGAAAGAGGCAGAAATATGTGATATGTCTGGATAACCACTTGTATAAATTATAAGACAAAAGAAGACGGTGATATATTAGGCATATCCTTGTGAGGACTGGAATGGAATCGCCAAGCAGACACTGATATGGGAAACACTTGGAGTGAGGAAATGAGAGCATCCCAGAAAAATCCTCTAATGAATGTTCTTGAGAGAAGCCAAAGGAGCCTGACTGGATTCCATCCATGATATTGAATGAATTGCAGAGGATTAAAGGTTGTGAAAGGATAAGCTATGAGCCCTATGTGATATATAGCAGTTCAACATGATGATTTTGATGATAATTTTGAAAGTTAGAAAATATCTTTACTAAGAATAAAACTGGTGGCTGCTTGGATTTTTATCATGGTATGGGGCGTCGCAGGTGGACCCAGCCTAAAATGGGTACCAGGATGGCTGTCCTGGGAAGTAAAGTCGGCCACCATAATGCTGACCACATTACCCACCTAGTGCTGATTGTAAAAATATGGGCACTCTTCCCAGATATCCGATACACCTAATGGCGTGAAAAGGGATCTTTCCTTTTTTTGAAAGAGTCAACAGAATTCAGTTTTTGCCTACATTACATATCACAAAATGTAAACCAGTAAAATGCTTTCATCTGTTCTAAATATTATGTGTAATTTAGAACTTTGATTGCTTACTGTTTACAATAATTTAATTCTCCCCAGTGGGTTTCAGTGTTAATTTTTGTTTTTTTTTAAATAGACCCACTGCCTTCCTAGTAAGCATGTTGTAAAATCAACTAATTAATGGTGATTCCTTCAAAGTACGAGTGCATCTCTTTGAGAGGCAAGAAACCAACAGTCTGCATACAAATAAGCCAGATCTCTAAAATGGATGTGCATGCAAAACTCAAGTTCTGGAACAAGATTAAAATCCAGAAGTGGACGAACAGTCAGAACTTTCTTTGGAGTTTACAGCCGATGAGTGCTAAGAGGAAGAAGAGGAAGAAGGTAGTTTATTTCGGTTACAAGAGTTTAATTATACAAATTTGAAAAGTATAGCATGACTAAATACATAGCCTAGATTTTCTTTTTGGTTGATTCAGTTTCATAATAACTAAATGAAACATGCACTGATAATGTCAGACTTCTAGTATTAATGCCTTTGACTTTGATTCTACAGGAGTCACCTCTGAGCCAAATGGAACTAGACTGGTGGTCAAAATTCTATGCTTCCACGAATGATTTTGATAAGTGCAAGAAATATCGCCTCATGCAGTATGATACTTTAGAGGTAAGCTTTGTGTTACAGATATTTTCATTTATCTATGTTTCTAAACATGGTTTTTAATTAAAAGCAGTGAGTAGCACAAGTAGCCCTTTGCAAAGTGGAAAACATACTCACTAATGAAAGATTTTTTTTTTAATTTTAATTTCTGTGAGGAAGAAAGAATGTTAGAGTTACTCATTAGTCAAGATTCCAACATAACTGCAGATGGGTCACTCTCTAATTACTCTGTTTCAGTGCCAGTGGAAATCACACTAAACACCATTGACTGTCCCATTTAAAAATATTGAAACACTTGTAAGTCTTAGCAAAATCTTGAAGCTTGCATGTGCAAAGGCGAAATGCATAAGGTAGCTGTCAGATATGCCAAAACTAATAGTCCCACACCAGAAGTGAAGCTCACTGTTGGCACAAATGGTGAATCACAAAAGCTGATATTGCACCACAATGTGAAAGTGCTGTATGTAACCTGCACTGTTGTGTGCATGCAAAATGGGAACAATAAGATGAGCTGAGAAATATCCAATGTCAATAAAATGGTGTTTCTTGAAGAGAGGAAAAGTAAAGAATTTTATGAATCAGCAGTAACAAACTTAAAGTCTATTATACTGATTAAAGAAATTAGGCGAAGAAATTCAAGATTTATAGACATATTAAGGAGAGAATTAAAATTGGTGACCACTGGCAAACTTGAAGAAATAAAAAAGAAGAAAAAAGATTTGGTGAATAAGTAGGATGATGAGCCACGATTGCCTACTGTTATCGACATTAGATGTGATGTATACTGCATATGTTAAGTTCAATTATTTTTTTTAGTTTTACACTCTGAGTATATTCTGTGTGATTAAGACCAAAGGTTATCTTTATGGTAACAAAAAGATGCAGTATCTTATTTGTGAAAAGAAAACTGCATTAATTCATAAATTCAAATGCCACAAATTGACATGTTTTTTGTTTTGTTTTTAAATCCAGATTTTACCTGCTGAATTGGAAAACAGTAACAACTTCCAAGGATTTACCGACTTCTGTCACACACTTCCACTGTCTAGGGGCAAAGAAGATGATGAAGAAGAGGATAACATTTCTGGAGAGTTTAAAGTGAGCCCACAGATTTATCATAGGTTTCCTGTTCTTTTAAATAAGATTGACCAAACTATCTTAAATTTTCTACATGTTGGAACAAAGATGTTTTTAATATATTTAACTCTTTGAGTCCCAGGGGGTTTAGCATCCCAGGCCCAAGGGGTAGTCAAGAGTGACGTAAAATCGGTGCATCATGCATTCAATGGGCCTCTAGGTAAGAATCTATGAACATATGATGCGTTCCTTGGGACTCAAAGTGTTAAGGTTAACTTTTTTATGAATATGCATTTCATTAAATGAGCTAGTACACATAATAAAAATTTAGTGCTCAGTGGCTTGGCTGAAATTGTTAAATTTTTTTTCTTTTTTTTTTTACGTACTTCTCATCCTAGAATCTTGCTATCAGCTTGCTATGAAATGTTCAAATAACATAAAAGTACATGACAAAAATTAGTTGTCAGTTTGAATCCACATCGAACAGATTTAGTTTATTGACCTGATGTGGTATACCAATTATTTTGTTGATTTCACAACTGACTCACTGGGGCATCAACTCTGACCTTGTGAGATGGAAACAGTTAAAAATTGGTTTTCCAGAAAAAAGTATTTATGGTGAATTATTTCTTTATATGTCCTAGAAGTTTTCTGTGTATTTATTTATTTCCTCTGTGCAAGTCTGTGGCTTAAGGTTAGGGAAATATATTCACAGTGCAATAGCTGACGTTTACCGGGGTTCAATTTTCACAGTGGACAGTTTAAGGAAAAAAAAGGTTATTCTCATCTTTCAGATAGTTGTGCGAGAGGCACACTAGAAGAGTGGGGCCTCACTGCGTAAAATTCTTATAGTTAGCAGTGGATACATTGTAGCCAACCTCCATTTTAAAGCAGAATTTCTATTTTTCAACATTTCATTATGAGACAAAAACATATTTCAAAATATCATTTGATAACAAGGGAGGATTGACTTTAACCTCTTAAAAAAATTATAGATGAAGAATTTTATACAAGGAACAGAAGAACATTTTTTTTTTTAAATCAGCAAGATATAATTTTAATTCCTGATGTTTTTTTATTTTTATTTTATTTTATTCAAAATTAAATTACAGGGCTCATTTCGAGTGTACCCATTACCTCCAGACCCAAATGAGCCAATGCCGCCTAGAATATTTGAGACCCTTCCTCCCAGTGATCCAGAAGAATGTCTTGTGAGGATCTATATTATTCAGGCCACTGACCTACAACCATCTGATCCTAATGGTTTGGTAAGTTCATGAAAGTATGACTTTGTATGCTTTTTCTATGTCCCTCGCTATTGGCTTAATCATTGGCTCTTCTTTTAAAAGGTAAAAATGCAGTCATGGCCAGGTAGGTATCTCACTAAGGTGTGAATTGCATGAAATTTGCATTTTCTATTCCCCATGTGGGTCCGGGGCCCAACTGTGGGGAAATCAAGAATAGATCCACTGCCTCTTCAACAAACACATTGTAGGAGTCAACCAAGTGGAGAGGCAAGGAATCATGCATGCACACAAATAAGTCAGATCTGTGAAATGGATTTGCACACAACAGTTTGGCTCTAGAATAAGGCTAAGGTCCAGAGGTGGATGAAAGCCCAGAACTTTCCCTAGAGTTTACAGCTGCTAGATGCATTTGCTATGGTATGGCATAATGAAGTGGGGTTACCAGTTCTTTTCCTCCCAGAAATGTTAGCTTGGTTCCCAAATCGACCCAGTCTAAAATACATCTGAGGAAATGTTATGGGAAGTAAAGGTGGTTCATATAATATTGATCACATAATCCACCAAGTGCTGATTAAGCTATAGAAATATGTAGCTATCACCATAATGCACAATGCATGTTCCATCATGAGAAAGGGTACTTTAAATATTATTCATTTAATCTAGGCTGGGATGCAGAGGTGCATGAGGACCAGGCATCTTTCTGGTCAGGACCTATCTACTCTTCTCCTTTAGTCCGTCTTAGTCAAGGTTTTAACCTTATTGCAATCAGGTCACCCAATACTTGCTCCGTTCCTGTGCCAGCAAAAATCAGATGAAATGTTCCCCTCTGACCCAACCTAACCATCCGAGATTGAGTGAATAATGAAACTATCAGGCAAATTGTGGGAATGACACCTTGTACTAGATTCATTGAGAAACAGCAGATCAAGTGGTTTGGCCATCTCGTAGAATGCAGCAAAATCAAATACCATGCACTACATCTCAGAAGATCAGCTACAAAAGCAAGAGGACGGCTGCGGAAAATATGGATCAATAACATTAAAGACACTCTACGCCTTCACAGCATGACAATAACCAGTGGCAGCCAATGTGCACTGGATCGCAAATTATCCCTTTCCACGACGCTTAATGGCAGAAGTGGTTTATGATGATGATGATGATGATGATGACAAACCAGAAAAGTGCAGAGGCATTAGATGCATGTGGCAGTTGCTAGAGGTGCCAAAGCTAACAGTCACCATTAGAAATGCAGTTTACTGTTGATGAAAGTAGTCAGGCACAATGTCTATACACACATGGAGTTATTACTTAAGGTACTTCACCAGCCCACACATGAACCGCTTTTCGGCCATATTGAATACGACAACTTAGCTGCTGCACAAATAAAAGGCATCCCACATGAAAATATCACAGCCTACAGGGCTGCACCAAGCTCTAAACTCAGTAACTAAGGCATCAAAACCATCTGCACTTCTCCGAGGTCATTCTAGAAACAGGTTCCCGACCGAAGACTTGGCCAGTCTAAATAGGATTAGTGTTTCCTTTGAAGTTGTCATACATCTGCCTAAAAGGCAGGGAATCAACGGTTTGCACACAAGTAAGCAGGGAGTGGGGGTGGGGTATGGGTAAACTGACTTGCTTGGGATGTCCCGTTTTCAGCTTAAAATATTAGTGGGATGTTCCTTTTCAGCTCACGATATAATGGCCACCCTCTCTATCACTAAATTACAATGTGCCAAAGGTGTGAAAGGAATCATTTACTTATGTTATTTATAAAATTTACCATTTATCTACCTTTTTTTTTCGCTTTGTGAAACCCTTTTATTTAAAAAAAACTATATTTTGTATATCTTTAAATGTTAACAAAAGGACTCCTGATGTGGCTTTTTATGTAGCTTAGCCTTTTTGAGTATCACAGCGAGTGGCTTGCAGTAAATTAGGGACTAAAAACAGCTGGGCAAGGCTACTGAGAGAGCCTCAGGCTGGCTTTGGACACAACGGAGGGTCGTGGGGGACGGGCCTCGGTGAGCTGGTCTGGGTATCTAGTCAAAAAGAAGTTTTATCCCTTAAAAGTCCATCATGTCCGAATTGTCTGCCGGTGTCCCTCTGCCATTTTGCCAATAAAGTCCAACATGTGTCCGATAAACCAACCGTAAGCTTGCCACTTGGTCGTTCAGGTATGCTGTCTGCTCTAATATGCTACCGCAGCAACTATAAATAAACTTCGAATCTCACAGTAACCGTTGCATAGTCACCAATTTCGTCTTGTCCCTGTCTGAGAACATCCTGTAATACGTGCAGCAGGAGCAGATCAAGCCTGAGCTTCATGAACTCATGTGGGCCTACCCTCTGAAATTGTCTAGGAGCTCGTGGGCTGAAACAGTTGTGGACGAGGGATCACTTCTACTGATGATTGGTAGACTCCTGCTGTACATGCTCCCCTGTGGAATTTCTTCTTAGGGGCTGGCAAACTAGATTTTCATGGCTATGTTATGTATAAAATTGGTTTTAAATATATCCTGAGTGAACCATATTCCTTGAGAAAGCTGAAACTACTGAGCAAGTTCTATCCACCAAAATATTTTCTTCTTGTTACAAATTAAAATAGAAAACAAATGTATCATAGAGTTCAAGAGAATCAAGAAAACTATTTTGCTCACTGTGACTATCATATCTCTGATTGTTGTTTGGTCACCAATTGCTGTTGATTGTCTGATCAGGTCCCTCAACCTCTGTCAGTGAGATGCAATGTACTTTATGCTTACATTTTTTAAGCCTGTCCGTTTACCTGTTGTATATATGTCTTTCTTGGGTTTCCTCTTCTCCTCTTCCAATAAAGTATAATTCTGGAGAAGTTGTTAAATCTTGTTATATGTCTCTACCATTGTATTTTCTATCTTTTTACTGTTGTTACAAGAGGTTCATAGTTGCCAGTGTGTTGAGTGATGATATGGTGAAATTTGTCATTTGTGATGTGGTCTCAGTATGTGTACCAAGGATCTTTTGTAAAAACAATCTCATTTTCAGTTCCTGTATTTTCCTTTCAAGTTTGGGTGTTGAGATCTTTGTTTCACAGTTGTACGTAAGGGTACTGATAGCTAGTGCTCCAAGCAGTTGTATTTTTGCTTTATACAAGATGTTTTTGCACCTCCATAATACTTGCTGTTTAGTGAGGACTGATTTTATTTGGACTATTCTTTACATGATTTCTGGTCTGGACCCTTGGTCATTGAGAATGATTCATATACTTGAACTGTTTCACTTGTCCTGGTTGGGACTGTATGCCTAATATTTCTACACGGTGTGAAGCTAGGTAGTATCAGAGAGAGAAATCCAGAATGTAAGCTAGAATGTGTCTAAACATCTTATGCAATAAAGAAGATGCAAACAAGAGGTGTCATATTATCATGCTGGTATTATGTATATTTTCATTCATCAATTCTTAGACCTCAGTTTTCATTAGAATATCATGTCTCGTCTGTTGTACGCTTTGTACATCACCTTATTAAATATTGTATCATTTGTTATTGATGAAGCAATGCATCCTTACAGGCTGATCCATATTTAGAAGTTGAGCTTGGAAAGACAAAAATGAACACTCGCGATGAGTATGTTCCTAACTCAATCAATCCTATGTTTGGAAGGTAATGTTTCCCTTTTCTTTCTTTCTATTCTTTTGTTTTCTTTAGTTGCTGGGTTGATTTTTTTTTTTGGTACGTATGATGTCTTTATCATCACTAGTAGCATAATTAAGCATTTATCATCACTAGTAGCCTAATTAAGCATTTATCATCACTAGTAGCATAATTAAGCATTTATCATCACTAGTAGCATAATTAAGCATTTATCATCACTAGTAGCATAATTAAGCATTTATTATCACTAGTAGCATAATTAAGCATTTATCATCACTAGTAGCATAATTAAGCATTTATCATCACTAGTAGCATAATTAAGCATTTATCATCACTAGTAGCATAATTAAGCATTTATCATCACTAGTAGCATAATTAAGCATTTATCATCACTAGTAGCATAATTAAGCATCATGTCTAAAGTTAATGAATGGGATGCGAAGAAATAAACATGACACTGAAGTCATTAACTGCTGACAGCAAACTTTATGTTTGTCACCTTGCGTTTACCCTGTTGGAACAGACACTTACTTTATTTTGCGTTTCAGTTGGAAGGATTTATTTTTTTTTGCTTGATTTTTAACAAGGTTACTGTAGTATGCACCTGATAATATACCACAAAATATGCCAGGCAAAATGTAGTTAGACCAAACGCTCCTGTGTATTGTTGTGCACCTAAAAAAATACCTTGGCAGTTGGAAATGAAAAAAGAGATGCCTAACGGCGCAGAACGGCAAAAGTTGGAGTTAAAAAACTACCCTAAGTATTTCAGGAACCTCATCGGTGCTACGGATTTTGTGCACTGTGATGAGATTCTTCAGACTTGGGCTTGAGTTAGAAGTAGAATGGAGCAATTATGGGTTACATCCATGTGCCATGATGTTGATCCGTTGAACAAAAGCACATTCTGAGTGTTTGTCTCTAGAAAATCATCTCTTATTCTGTTAATTAGTTATCTTTTGTAATATTTGTATAACCATTTGCACATATAGTTACAGTCTGTTAGTGTGCTAAGGAGAGTAAGGTCTTTTAAAATAGTGTTCACAGTTTCTTCTTCTAAATTAACTGCATGAGAAAAAAACAACCATAGAAACATGTTTTTTGTTGTGTTTTTTTTTTTTTTTTAAAGTATTTTTTTTTTTAAATCAAGGCAATGTTTCCCCGTTGTGAATTTAAACAAGACACAAACAATAGATTGCACAATTTATTGCCTGCTATATTTCACTGTATTTCATCAGGTGCATACTACAGTAACAACTGATTAAAATTAGTCAAGTAAATTAATCTTTCCTATTGAAACACAAAACTGACTACATTCAAAAGTAACTGTTTACACATTGGTAACAAAGACAAAAGCATTTCCAATTCTTTATACTTCAGTAAACTACAGATTATTGTGATTTATGGAAGCAACAGTTATAAACCAGTTAAGTACAGAATTATGCCAACAAAAAGATATATTTGTCGCCTTGAGTTTACCCTGGTGAAACAGTTACTTTATTTTTGTGTTTCAGTTGGAAGGATTGATTTATCTGCTTTATTTTAATCAAGGTTACTGTAGTAGGCACCTGACGAGACATAACAAAATGTGCCAGGCAAAAAATTGTGCAATTTATTGTTAGTCTTCTTTGTTCACATTTTTTCTATTTGAATAAATACATTAGAAATGTTTAGTTTTGTTAAATTGGGCAATGGTTCTCACTGTTTATATCCACATAACAGTGCATTCATTTTGTAATACTGTTGTTGCCTATTTTTATCCTCAGATTGTTTGAGATGAAAGCTCTGATACCCATACACAAAGATTTGAAAATCCGAGTAAAAGATTATGACTTATTGAGCTCTGATGACACTGTTGGAGAGACCAATATTGACTTAGAGAATCGATACTTGACCAAGTACAGAGCTACATGTGGACTCCCCAAATCCTACTGGGAGTAAGTAATGCAAGGCATATTAAATATATATTAATTCTTACTGTTACTTACATCTTTGGCACTACAACAGTGTCACCTGACTGCATTTTAAGGGCTGTTATCTGTCACTTTACAATATGCCAGAGCCATAAATGTGAATTTCAACTGTAGATAAGTCATCACAATGAAATATCACTTTTCACACAATTATGCAATCTCAGAAAGATCTCAATGTTCAGGTGCGGTTTTCTCAATTCAGGAATATTGCATTTAGGGACTTTGACATAGTTCTAATGATATCAAAAGGGAACCAGAAATAGAAGGTTGAAGAAGAAATTTCAGTTTAAACTGAGTGATGATGCATTGAAATATTAAAGTATGTCTAGGTCTATACAGATAAGCATTCCTGTAAAAACAAGGCACATGATAAAAACGTATGGCATGAAAAAAAACCATAACATAATAGCTAATGTTTGGACATTAAAAAAATTAAAATAAATTAAAATCTGATTGTGTAAACTGCAAATGAGAGAATTCAAGATATCAGAAATTAAATACTCGTGAAAACTACTGAACACTAGAACAGAAATAATTTAAATTGATAACAATAGGAAGGTCATAAATATCTTGTTCTGCATTGAATTTATAGGGCACACACACGCACAAACACATTTACACACACACACACACACGGCCACACTCACACGCACAAACACAAACACACACACACACACACACACACACCCTCGCTCGCACGCATGCACATATGCACTCACACACACAAATTCATTTAATTAGAATTTGTGTGACATTTTTAAAGTGCTTTCTTTGTCCTCTTCATTCTCATGTAAAAGGGTAGTTGGTAGAGTGTGCTATGGTTTACAGCTAGGCTACAACATCTGTCTTTCAAACCAATATATCCCATTTCAGCAAACCACTAATTAGTTACTTTTTATGATGTGCTTGTTGACTGGGTTGGGGGAGGGGGTGGGGGGGGGGGGGGCAATGGGTCCATTAATTTTTTTTCTTCCCTCCAAATTACAGTCCTGGAACTCACACAAGGATATTTGGGGTACCAAGTTTATTGGAAGCTGGGGAAATGTGTCGAAAGATGCATGCAAGTAAAACAAATATAAATAGGTTGGTCCTTAAAAAATGTGGCAATGGAAATTGATAATAGGGGAAAAAAATAGAAAAGACAATAAAATTGTTGGCCACATTGAAAGATATGTTACTGTTATTAAAAACAATTTAAGAAAAAGTCAGAGGCGGTGAGTGAGAAATGGCTGGATACGTGTGGCACAATGAATATTTGTGGATGAATATTAGTATGTCAGAATGTGCAAGCAGAATTAGAAGTAGAAAGTGTCGGAAATTTATTGCAGCTGGCCTTCATTGTGAGTGCTTTTTATTCACTGATTAACCACATAATAAAAATAATTACATTATCAAGGAGCAGTGGCTAAGCAGCTAATATATCCATTTCACTGGCTCTTTTCTTTGGTAACACAATAAATTAGAGTCGCCGTGGCGTAGCAGCTAGACACTTGGTGCAGATTGGAAGGTCGTGGGTTCACTCCCTGGCGAATCCGGTCTTTTTAAAAAAATGACATTGACTCCCAGGTCGACCCAGCCTTGAGTTGGTACCAGGTGCAGTCACGGAAAATAAAGGGTGATGCTGACCACATCACCCATCTTGTGCCGATTGGTCAATAAAAATAGAGGTCTAGCCCTATATGCCTTATACACCTAAAGGCTTGGAAAAGTGACCTTTACTTGACAACAAATTAGTATTTACCAGATGTGAAATTAACTTCTAAGCCAGTCCACTACACGGTCACTTCTCGTGGGAAAGTGACCTGTAGCAGTGACCTGTAACCAGTTCTTTTAAAACTCTCTTGATAGTACAAGCAACAGCACAAATACTATTCTGACTGTAATTTCCTTTTCTTTTTTCAAATATTTTCTGTCAGTGCACTAAATTTCAAAGATGAAAAGGTAAAGGTAAAGTTGGGAGATGTGAACCAGCTTCATTGCGCATGGTTATAATCTATAAGTGCTCTGTCACCAGTACGGACAGCTGATAAGAATTGTCCAACTGTGTCACTGTTCGCACGTAACTCTGTAGCTACAGCAACGTTCCTCCATTTACCCCAGAGTATCAACTCTGTTACCCATTTCCTAGAGGCTGGGTGAACCCCGGGAGCCGCCCGGTTTCGAACACCGACCGTGGCTGCAGCGAGTCGCAGCTGTATTTGAAAGCCTCTCTTCGACTGCACTAACGCGGCTCAGAGATGAATGCAACATGATTCTTTTTATTTTTCAGGAGTGGTGTCAACCAGTGGAGGGACAGCCAGAAGCCAGTAGATATTCTAATTGCCTACTGCAAAAAGAACCGCATCGAAGGGCCTACATTTTCAAACAACAATACTTCATTGAAAGTTGGAAACAAGCTGTTTAATTTAAATGAATTTGGTATGCATGCCATTTGCACATTATCTCCTACATGACTTTAGAATATAATTGAAGTATGTTTTAAATCAGATCATCAGTAGTTGTTTTTTCTTTTAGCTTCAAACAGAGCAGCTCATCAAGTAGTATGTTCTTTGCATAAAATCACTCTTATCACAACCAATCTAAGAGACTCTCAGTCCCCTGCCTTGTGCATTTTTATGCATAGTGTGTCTTTATTTTCTCTGGTCCACCTTTATGTTGATCAAACATATTTTGTTTTCCAGAAACTATGCCATCTCTTCTTTGTAAACCACTTTGATTTCTCAAGCGATTAGAGTATTGTAGTTTCTAAGATACTGATGAGTCAGCTGAGTATTTTAGTTTCTAAGATACTGATGAGTCAGCTGAGTATTTTAGTTTCTAAGATACTGAGGAGTCAGCTGAGTATTTTAGTTTCTAAGATACTGATGAGTCAGCTGAGTATTTTAGTTTCTAAGATACTGATGAGTCAGCTGAGTATTTTAGTTTCTAAGATACTGATGAGTCAGCCGACTATTTTAGTTTCTGAGATACTGATGAGTCAGCTGAGTATTTAAGTTTCTGAGATACTGATGAGTCAGCTGAGTATTTTAGTTTCTGAGATACTGATGAGTCAACTGAGTAATTTAGTTTCTGAGATACTGATGTCAGCTGAGTATTTTAGTTTCTAAGATACTGATGAGTCAGCTGAGTATTTTAGTTTCTAAGATACTAATGAGTCAGCTGTGTATTTTAGTTTCTGAGATACTGATGAGTCAGCTGAGTATTTTAGTTTCTAAGAGACTGATGAGTCAGCTGAGTATTTTAGTTTCTGAGATACTGGTGAGTCAGCTGAGTATTTTAGTTTCTGAGATACTGATGAGTCAGTAGATTATTTTAGTTTATGAGATACTGATGAGTCAGCTGTGTTTTTTAGTTTCTGAGATACTGATGAGTCAGCTGAGTATTTTAGTTTCTGAGATCCTGATGAGTCAGCTGAGTATTTTAGTTTCTGAGATACTGATGAGTCAGCTGAGTATTTAAGTTTCTGAGATACTGATGAGTCAGCTGAGTATTTTAGTTTCTGAGATACTGATGAGTCAGTAGATTATTTTAGTTTATGAGATACTGATGAGTCAGCTGTGTTTTTTAGTTTCTGAGATACTGATGAGTCAGCTGAGTATTTTAGTTTCTAAGATACTGATGAGTCAGCTGAGTATTTTAGTTTATGAGATACTGATGAGTCAGCTGTGTATTTTAGTTTCTGAGATACTGATGAGTCAGTAGATTATTTTAGTTTATGAGATACTGATAGGTCAGCTTGCTTTCATGTTTAAATCTCGGAAGGATGTAACTGATTTATTTTTTTTTTTCTGCAGTATTCTAAGAGTTTTTTTTTTTAAACAAGTCACAACACACTAAGGTATCGTCTGTATTATTGTTCTTGTTCTTCTATGTTCACCGGCAGTGAGCTCTGGTGGAAAGTCCTGGCTGGCCTGTCATCTGGACTGTGTTCTTGGTCCAGGACTTGAATGCTACATGCACATCCATTTTCCAGATCTGGCTTATTGTGTGCAGACTGTTGGTTCCTTGCCTCTCAAGCAGATGGGCTTTGACCTCGAAGGAAACATCAATCCTACTACACTGCCCAGGTGCCAGTAGGGAACCTGTTTTTAGATTGACAAAGTAGAGGTGTAGATTCACTTATCTGAGCCCTGGTCCTGATGCTCTGTAAATAATGTTTCAGAATTGTTTAATTGCATCTTTGCATTTGTGGCAACAGATTTCAGATCCAGTATGCAAATAAGACAAGAGACCAAGCAAGATAATGTATCCAGTTTTATAAGAAAGCACCGCTGGAACTACATCAGCCATGCACTCAGAATTGATAAGACCAGACCCCCCCCCCCCCCCCCCCCCCCCCCCTCTTCCACCAATCAAGCCCTCATATGGACATCAGAAGGGAATAAAAAACAGGGAAGACCAAAAGAGTCCCTGCCCATACCCATCTTCATGTCAACCATGGGCCTAATGAACATTCAAGACCTAAAACAGGTGGCAACGAACAGCCGGACATGGAGAGTTATGACCCCTGCCCTGGGCTCAAGAAGAAAGACTAAGTAACTAATGGTTATGTAGCAAGAATTTCATATTGGTCAGACACCTACTACAGTTCGTGTCAACTTAATAATGAACATGAATACATGTGGCATTAATTAATGTCCTTTTATCCCCCCCCCCAAAAAAAAAGGGGGCGGGGGGGGGGGGGGGGGGGGGGTGATGTGATATGAAGATGACATTATTACTGAAGAGTCTTTTATTGATACAAATGACTGGCTATGATTGTCCTCTGTTTTTTTTTTTTATATGCATTTATTCAAATTTTATGCAACTAGAAAAATATATGGCGACCTCTAAACACTGGGGTCCTGAAAATCAACGACTGGCCTTGCATGTGCTCAATCTGACTCCACTTTGCAAGGAACATGTGGAAGCCAGGGCACTGTACAATCCATTACAACCTAGCATTGAGCAAGTATGACTGAAATGTTACTAGTTTAGTTGAGTGTATTGTTTTATTTTATGTGTTGTTGTTGTGGTTATGTCATTTGCCAGTGTGTTATTGTGTTATTGGTACACTTAGGGAAAGTAACGAGACAACTAACAGTAGGATTAGGCAGTTGTTGACTACCTACCTGGTCTCATAAAAAGTTTCAGCTGCAAAAGCCAATCACTAAAATCAGTTTTAAAAGGCTTTGCTTAACCTCATTGGAGTTTCTGCTACATTGGGTAATTGGAAAAAAGGGAGAAATTTGAGGATGAAAAATAAAGTTGCAATTATACTCATATGTAATTATTTTTTACAAATCAATATTTTATTCACAGCAATTACTATTATTTTGCATTTGAACAAAGGCTCAGATAATGGACTGCACAAGTTATTGCCTGGAATATTTTTCTGCATCTTTTTTAGGTGCATGTTACAGTAACTATTAAATACTGTGTGGTTTCTAGGCATGGTGTTTGCCTCGAGTGCTAGAGGTTCCATGTTCAATCCTTGATAAGGGCTGGGATTTTTTTTTCGTGGATGGACTTCTAGTATTTCCCCTGGTCTCTGGGTAGTGAGATCAGACGCCGGTGGGCATTGTCGTGCACGTAAAATCCTTTGGCAGCTGGAAATCGAAAAGAGTAGCCTAATGGCGCTTCCCAGGCAAAATTTGAGTTTAAAATCTACCCAAAAGTATTTCAGGCTCCTCGCCGGTGCTACAGAGCCTGTGCACTGTGCTGAGCTTCTTCGAACTCAGACTTGATTTAGAAGAAAGAACGGAGCACTTATGGGTTACTACCCATGTGTCATGATGTTAATGCGTTGTTCAAACTTCAAACTTGAATGCAACGAAGCAAATAAATAAATAGTATACAACTGAACATTGAAAATAAAAAACAACACTGAAAAGTAACTGCCTGTTTTATCAAGGCAAGCGCAGGTTCACAACCATGTCTTTTTGTTTGCCTAAATCTAGACAAAAGTTACTAATCATGGCTACTTCAAGGAATCTCAGGACTCTGCCACTGGTTTTTCATTTACAGTATTTAAAATATATCCTTTATTATTATATGACATGAGTTCAAAATATGGCACTCTGTGATAAGAAGTTTTTTTTTTTCCCCACTAATCATCCTGATGAAATAAAGCTGACTATGCCAAGCATAAATTATGCAGTCTACTGCTGTTTGTATCCCGTTTATTTAAATTTACAATGGGGAAACATTGCTTTGATGTTATTTTACAGTTGTTAGTATTATGCTTTAAGTCTCTCCAGATTTTAAGATCAAAGCATTTGTTCTTTCTGTATGTATGTCTTGTATCTATCATCTGTCTGTCTTTAAAAGTACACACAGAGAGTTGGGGTGAGGGGAGTGTAAAGGAGAGAGATTTACAAAATAATGGCATGCTTATCACTTCAGTCGACATTTGTGACTTAGACGCACTTCGTAATGCCGGAATGCTGGGTTCGATTCCAGCTGCAGGCAGTTTGGCAGCAGACCACATTGCACTGGTTTCAACAGTGGTATTGAAAGCCGACCATTCAGGAAGCAATGGCATACTACTGAATGTAAACTTGCCTAGAAAAACTTCAACAGACAAAAAATGCTGGGGATGGTTCTGCAGCGTCCTGTGAAGGATACAGATTCAGTCACCTCAGGAAGAAAGAAAAAAACAGAAACCAGGGTACAGTGTAGACAATAAAGCAACAAAAGAAATGTACATTAATCTTCAGAAAAAAATACAAATATAAAAGGAATTATAATGTCAGTTACATGGAGCTGTAAATAAGTTTGTGCTGAAAATTACACACGTCATAATTTGTGTGTGTCCTGACATATTTCTCAAGGGACGACTTCACATGTGGGTGGACATTTTCCCTACTTCATTAGGGCCTCCTGGTCCTCCTTTCATTATTGCAGCAAGGAAACCTAGTCAGTAAGTAATGATAGCATTGTGTGTGTATTTTGTAAATAGTACTCTGGGGTTCTTTTCAAAATTGACTTTGGCTCCAAGGATGTCCCAGCCTAAAATTGGTGCTTGGTAATGTCATGGGAAGTAAAGCTGGTCATCGGAATATTGACCTCATCACCAATTTATTTCATATTTGTTTGTACAAATGTACTCTTGCATCATATGTCCATTGTGTCACTAATGCAAAAAGGATCCTATACTTTACTTTTACCAAATGGTACTTAGCTTATTTGGGAGCCGCTGTGGCATAGCGGCTAGACACTCGTTTGCTGATTGGAAGGATGTGGGTTCGCTCCCTGATGGGGGACGGACTTTTATTTTTTTCAAGAAATGACCTTGGCTCCCAGGCCGACCCAGCCTTGGGTGGGTTCCAGGTCCAGTCCTGGGAACTAAAGGTGACCGGTGTGATGCTGACTACATGACCCATCAAGTGCCGATTGGTCTATAAAAAAAATAGGTCTGGCCCTATATGCCCAATACGCCTAAAGGCGTGGTAAAGGGTCCTTTACTTTACTTGTTTAATTTTTAAAGGCCCCAAGGGTTTTTTCATGTTGTCTGCAGTCATGTTATTTATCATCCATCTGTTACTATAAATCTGAATACATTTCATAGATTTAAATGAAGATTAAGTCACCATGAAGATGTTGATAGTCACAGTCTGTTGTGTAGTGATGGAAGTGTAATGCATTTAATGCTTTTTTTTATCTTCATATTGAGGGTGATGTTGCAGAAAATATGTAGCTGCCATTTTTGTCCTCTCCTTCTTTTGATCAAATGCATTAGTGTGTGAGTATGAAATTCATTATAAGTACCAGAATATAACAAATGGCCAGATATAAATACATGTTAAGTCCTAAGTAAGTCCTAAAATGATGTGCAAGATTTTCTTCACCCATTTCACAAATGTATACCTTTGTGTTTCCATTGTCATGTATAAAGGTACGTTCTTCGCTGTGTTATCTGGAACACAAAGGATGTCATTCTTGAGGAAGAAGCCATTACTGGAGAGAAAATGAGTGACATCTATGTCCAAGGCTGGATGTCAGGTGTTGATGAGAAGCAGAAAACTGATATCCACTACAGGTAGCTCATAATGTTGTGGGATGGTGTTATGTAAAGTTATCACAATCGAGGTTTTTGCACATTGGGCATCCCCATCCGTGCTCAGTCCTCCAATGCAGCAGTCACTCCTAGGTACGTCTACTGATTGTTCCCGTGAGGAGTTGGTTATGGTATCTATTGTCTTTACCTCGAAGATGACAAAGACATGCTTCACCAAGCTCAACTCCTCAGTCACACAGTCATGTTAGCGTGGAGTGGTGTGGTGTGTGTGGGCTTGCATCTATGCAAATGCACAAGATCAAATGAGTGAGCACATGTGTGATGGTGAGCATGAAAGCTGGTGATAAACTGTGACATTATTTCAGTATTACACACAGAAAATACCAGAGAGCATTATAAAAGGCACTATCTTTTTAAAATATACAAAAAGTAACTAAGGATGTTGTTTAATAGAAATATTTTATGAATAAATAATCTGTTAATTCCAGATTAACATTTATCCAGAGAAATTTCTGTGGAGCCAGATTTTTTTTATTGAATTAGGCTCACTGGTTGACCTTGCCAAAATTGGCATCAAAGGAATACCTTGTGGGGTATAGGTGGACAGTATGATGTTGACACATCCTCCACTATGCCAGTTGGTCTGTAGAAATATGGGGCTTGCACCATATTTCCAATATTTATAAAGTCATGCACATTTTTTTTGCAAATGTGTTAGTATGTTAAATTATTTTTTTTTTAAATAACCATTAAAAGCTTCAGAAAGAGATGGTTCTGTCTTTACGGCTGCCCTGGTAAAAACAGGCAGTCATGTTTTATCGTTGTTGAAATTGTACTTCAGTTATAAAGGATTCACTTATTTGCTTCATTTATGTAATTGTTACTGTAGTATGCACCTGACAAGATACAGTGAAATATGCAATTAATTGTGCAATCTATTGTTTGTGTCTTCTTTGTTCAAACCATTAAAAGCGTTTTGCATATTTGACCTAGTCATTTAAGTATTATATATTATTTAATATAGTTGTTATTATTATATTTGAAGCTAAACTCAAATAAACAAATTGTTTGATGAATTATTATTCAGATCACTGGATGGTGAAGGCAATTTCAACTGGAGATTTGTTTTCCCATTTGAATATCAATTGGCTGAGCAGACTATGATCATCAAAAAGAAGGTAAGGGTTAAAGAACGAGCCATTATTTTTCAAGGTTAGTGACAATGTGCATAGAAGGATACTTTTTTCCTACCAAGGCAGATCTAATAGGAACTAATTTTGGCTTATTGTATGCTGCTAGTTTAAAACATGAACCCTTACTAGAAAATAACGAGCACAAAATCATAACAACATAGATGAGATTACTTAGAAGACCTGCTGGAGTAATAAAAAGAGATAAAATTAAATATGAAAGAATTAGAAGACAAAACACTGAAACTATAAGACATTTAATGAAGACATAGCAAGAGGAAAACCATGCAAAATTTTGAAGGACTGCATTAAAAACAGCCCTTAGGAAATCTACCAAATAAAAACACATTTAAAAAAGCACATAGAACATCCTTACATCTCCTCCCAACACTTTGATGATGAGAGGTAACAGGAGAAGGAAAATAAGAAGTACTATTATGCAGAGGGAGCATGTCATATATCTTCTTGTGCTGCTGCAGTAGTCATTTGCCTGGCATATAATTTGGCATGGGTATGATAATGACAGTACGTCCTAATTCATTCCTGGTTACACATATGTTATCTTCAGTTGTGACTGATGTGAGCCTGATTTCCTCTCTCTGACTGTCTGATCTGGGCAGTATTGTAAAACCTGCTCTGAACTTTGCTTTGGTGCTTCATATTTGTATGTGGTAAATTCAGTCTCATTTTATGAAAGTGCTCTGAATTCAGTGTCCTATAATGTATAAGGTTTTTGAGTGTTTGCCATTTTTACTGATGATGTCATGCTACGGTCTGTAGTTTTAATTGTCTTCTATTTCATGTTCGTGGATTATTTTAGGAGTGTCTTTAACTCTTAAGATCCAGGATAGTGAGGTAATCTGTTTTCTGTAAATAACCCTAACATAAACATTAGCAGATACATATAGATGGATAAAAACAATCAAAAACAGAGGTTTACAATGAGACCATTAATCTTCTTCTACTTTTTGTTCTCCCCACCAGTGGTTTTCAGTTAAGAAAGCAAGAGGCCTCTATAAAGGTTGTGGTGCAACACATATCCTCCAATGATCCATTCAGCTGGGTTTCTGCTAAAATACCAACCGGCCAGAACTGGGACTCTCTGCTGCATGTAGAGACATGTCTAAATCATATATATTTTCAGTATACTTTGGTGCCTGTCCACATGAGCAGTGTTCTTGATACCCAATCATGGATTCGCTGTAGACATGGCGGTAAAGTCCCTTGTCTCCAGTCTAAAAAATATGATCTTTGCGTTCATGCAAAGAGGTTGATTGGCTGTAGACCATGAATAAAAAGAGTTTCTGAAGGAAATACAAGACAAGTGAAATTTTGAAGGAAAGTGAGCAAGAGGTAGACAGCATATGGGAGTTCCCTTACATCCAACCTTCATTGTGAAGATATTACTTGATTGACTTATTGAATACAGGTAGCTGCCAATATTTTGATGCTTTAACGTAATGGTCGAAATAAAAAAATCTTTTGATGAGCACTTGGAACTAACGACATAACATGGGAAATAAATTTACAAGAATTGATTGGCTCTCACAGAAGTCAGATAAATAATTAAAGATTTTACACATTATAAAAATCAAAAAGTTACAGGCACACAAAGGTTCAAACCTGTCATCTGTATATAATGACACTACCTCACAGAAGGAATGAAAGCGTGCTGGCGGTGCATCAGAGTGCTCTTGTTGTTAATATTTTATTTTATCTTGTTATTATTATTTTAGGAGCATTTCTGGAGTCTTGATGAAACGGAACTTCGAACCACTCCAAAGTTCATTATTCAAATCTGGGACAATGACAAATTCTCAAGGGATGATTTTATAGGTCTGTGCTTGTCTTTAATTTAGCCCTTTACAACATTTAGATTTTTTACATTACTTTAATCAGTATAAGCATTTAAAAGCCATCTCCAAACTGTTTGGTTTATCATTATTGAAGAAGTGGGTGAGTGGGTGGGGGTTATGAACAGTGAGTAAAGCATCTTCAGAAGAAAATCTTCAACTTTATATAGTATATTTCTGCAGCATGTTTAGAAATCTCAGTGTGACAATTAATGTTAAATAAATAGAAGTTATGACAATTGCAAGAAAGTTTGCATTAACAAATATTTGAATAGGTAATCAACAAGTGAGGGGCTTTACTTACATATCTAAGAAATATAATTTCAAAAGATGGTAAAACCATTATTAAACTGTGATGAAACAAATGAAGTCAAATCATTACCAGATTTTTTTCGATTTCACCAACCAATCTACCAGTTCAACCAGTTAGTGCCATCTTCACAATGAGGGTTGGCTGTAGTGAATTTCCAATATGCTCTGTCTCTCATTTCTCTTAGTTTGTGTCTCCATTTTCTCCAGTACAACAGAACAAATATGCAACACTAGAAACTTCTCTTCTTCTGCAGATCAAATCTTTGGTATTGACACCATTGGGTGCATTCTGACAATAAGCTTGAGACTGTCTTGAAGTCAGTGTTCAGTTCCATAGAATTAAATGTTGGTACATGTTTGAGTAAAACTTTAGTCTATCTTCTTCTTCTTCTTCTTCAGCATTCCGAGCCCTTGAAGTTCATTGCTGCAGATATAACCTGCCTCCATTCATCTCTCTGGTTGGCCCTCTCTTTCCAGTTGGTGACACTAAGTGTTTGCAGGTCTGTTTGGATAGTATCTCTCCATCGTCTTCTTGGTCTGTCTCGTGGTCTACGACCATTCATCTCCCTGGTGTATAGTTTTTACTTCTCTGTCATCTGACATTCTTTCAATGTGCCCCAACCATTTCAGTTTATTAGCTCTCATGATGCCAGTGATCCGTGGTGATTTAAACAGAATATAATTTTCGTTGTTGCGTCTCACTCTCCAATCACTGCTGTTTGCATTTTGATGGGTCCAAAGATTCGTCATAAGACTGTTTCCGAAAACCTGAAATAAGGCTTCAATTCTTTTAGTTGTACTCTAAGTTTCAGAGCCATATAACATGACTGGTCTAATCAACGTTTTATATGTTTTGATATTGGTGTTGCAAGACAGACACTTTGACTTTAGCAGATGTTGAAGGGTATAGTATACTTTATTTCCAGATTGTATTCTACATTGCATTTCTTCTCTCAGCATGTTTGAGCAGTTGAAGTTTGCACTCAAGTACTTATATGTTTCCACTCATTTGATTTTAATATTATCGACTTGTATGTGGCTGGAGTTTATATCCTTTCCTTGTCTAGTTATTATCATGTATTCTGCCTTAACTTGATTGATAACTAGTCCCATTTTCTGTGCTGATTCTTTTAAGACAGCCAGTGTTTTAACAGTCTCTAGTTCATTTTCTCCAACGATATCAATATCATCAGCATATCCAAGTATTTTTGTAGTTTCTCCTATAGTACACTCTTGTTTCAATTTCAAAACCTTAGTCTATACTTTAGAAATTAAGATGCTGAAGTTATAAGCAAAAGGCACAGCAAAAACCAGATCACACTGTCACAAAGGAAATTTGCTTCGTAAAGGACCAACTTCACACTAGTAGCATATGATGCTAGACTCATTTTAGTATAGACTATTCAGCACTCAATGGATGATATGGTTAGTATTATGCCAGCCACCTTTACTTCCCTAGGGCATTACTGTCACCCATTTTAGGCTGAGCCGACCCTCAAAGCCAGGTTTTTTCTTTAATAAATCGGCCATTGCAGATTTTAAACCAAGACGTTTGGGTCAGCAGGCTAGCATCTAGCCTCTACGCCAGGACTGTTCAGCCAAGTCAGCTCAGGGGCCAAAATGTGAACAATAAGGATCACCACAGGCCAGAGGCCCCAGCCTTGGCATAGAAACATCGCTAATATGGTACAGCTGGCAGTGATCCTCTGTGCCAGGCCACATTCACCCCACTCAGCTCTGTCATGTCTTCTGAGAGATATGTGTGTCTGCAAATATTAATTATGGTTCTCGCCCAGTGATGAAACCTCAGTCAGGGGTAGTGCTTTTTTAATGCAAAATATAATATGCATGTTTACTGAAATAACTTTTACTTACTGTAAATGAATTTCACAACAGGTCATCTGGAGTTGAACTTGAATGCAATGCCACTGCCTGCTAGATTTAGCAAAACTTGTAAATTGACAATGTTACCAGAAGTTGGCGATAATGTCAAACTAGTCTCACTTTTTGAAATGAAGCACATGAAAGGCTTCTGGCCCTGCTACAGTGACACCAGTGGAAAACGAGTCCTTACTGTAAGTATTTTTTTCGACCGTGGCTAATTTTTATGGTCAGCTCTAATTATATGCATATACACTCTGTTCATACTTTTCAAACTTTCATTTTATATACATATATATAAATGTGTATGTGTGCACACAAGCATGCATAAACATGTGCACATGCACATCATTTTTTAAATTGAATTTAGCAGTGATTTAGGTATCTTTTAACTGTATTTTTTAAAATTAATCTTCTTCTTCTTCTTCTTTGCGTTCACCAGCTGTACACTCTGGCAGAAAGTTCTGGTTGCTCGTCCACTACTGAACTGCAGTCCTGCTCCAGAACCTGAGTGTTGCGTGTGCATATGTTTTACAGATCTCATACTCTTGAATACAGACTGTTGGTTCCTTGCCTCTCTGGCAGATGCACTCCGACTTCAAAGGAAGCTCCCCAATTAGTCGACTCTTACGACATGCTTTTGAAGAGGCAGTGGGTCTATTCTTGTTTTCCCCACAATGGGGCCCCGGAACCCACACAGGGTTTGTTTTTTTTTTTTTTTTAAATAATGATTTTATGTAAAACTTCTTTGAACTTATTTAAGTGTCTGAAATTTACAACTGAATAACCATATCTGCTTACATTGAAACTGGTATCTCTGCAGGGAAAACTAGAAATGGAATTGGAATTGGTCAGTTTAGCTGAATCTGAAGAGAGACCGGCAGGACTTGGTAGAGATGATCCTAATATGTACCCCAAACTGGAACCACCAAAGTGAGAATTACATTTCTAATATTATCTGTTATATTTGCTATTAAATTGGACTTTTTATAACTTTCTTCTTAATTCATGATCATAATTTAGCAATTCTTTTGCAGAATATACTCTTATCACAGCCTATAATAAAGATGCTTTATTTGTCACCTGACCTATTGTCTCATGCTTGTATTTTTCTTTTTCTTTTCTCTACTCCTGAAATGCCTTGCAGCATCAGAGATGCTCTGGAACGAGCTCTTCTGTTCACTTTGTATAAAGTACATTTCTGTGGTCCATATTCTGCGTGATTGTCCTCTGGCTCTGTTACCACTGTATCTGTATAACATTGCTCTCTGTGATGCCCTAAAGTTAAAAAGTTAAAAGTAGAAAGGATCGACTTCATTACATTAATTCTTATCCCATATGGCTCGGTCTCTCTCCACAGAATGGCTAGCCGCCTGCCAAGAGCATTGCACAGAACATGAACTCTATAGCTCCGATGACGATCCCCAGGGATATCAGTAAACATTGCACTCGTGAACTGAACGACGCCGCCATGAAATAAACACATGACCTTCAGAGCACGAGGCAAATGGCTTGACCACTTCGCTGTGGAGACCCCTGTCTGATGCCAGTTCATGCATTGTGATGCATTTAAATATCTTGTGTCCGCCATTACAACTAGTTGGCTCTTGTTTTGTTTTTTTTTAATACTTTTTATTTAAAATTGAGTTGTAAAAAACGTTAATTCTTTATTGATTTAAATCATTTTTTCCACATTTAGTTCAGTGGCTGCTGAAGATTTGTATAGCTCAAAAATTATATTTCTATTTTTTTTTTACTCGTTTAACTAGGCGACCAGCAACATCATTTTTATGGTTCACCTCTCCTTGGAAGACACTCAAGTTCATCATCTGGCGCAACTATCGCTGTCTGATTATCACCACCTTGCTGGTTCTGTTGCTGCTGTTGCTGCTTGGACTGTTTATTTACTCCTTCCCTGTAAGTTCAAGAACATATGTGTGGATGTTAGGGAGTGGTTTATTTGATTGTGTGAGGGCATTGTTTCTATGCTCACTCAATGTAAAAGACAAAAATGTACACGTATGTATATACATTCAGATACCCAGGCAGTCAGAGTATTTGTTATGTACAAATGTTGAATTATCATTTTAACTAGAGCTGTACCGAACATTCTCTTTGTATTCGATTTGGAGCCGAATAGTGGTCCTAATAACTACCAAACCTCATAAAAATGATGACTATTTAATTTTCAAAATGTTCTGTTGTAATTATATGAAAAGGAATGATGATGAAGACGCTAGCATATGTGAAGGCCTAACCTTTCATGCTGCAGCCGCAGAATTTACTGCGGAATATTTTTCTTCTTCTTTAGCCCTGTATTGCGCAAAGGACCATAGCAAAAGTGAGTGAAAGTGAAGGACCTTTTTCCACGCCTTTAGGCATATTGGGCAAACAGCTCTAAACCTATATTTTGTTGACGAGTACGGCACTCGGTGGGTAATATGGTCAGTGTCACACCGACCATCTTTACTTCCCAGGAATTCACGTGGTACCCATTTAAGGCTGGGTCCACCTGGGAGCCAAGGTCGTTTTTGGGGAAAAGTCCAGCTCAATCAGGACCTGAACCCATGACTTTGAGATCTGCAAGCAGTCGTCTAGCCACTAGACCACAGTGGCTTCCAATAGACCATAGGCCCTCAACCAACTCACACCAGGTGGTTCTATCATTTGCTCTCACATACAGCTACCCCATGTCCTTCTTGTGTTTTTAACTGAACTCTCTAGTTCCCTTCTCCATATGTTTCTTGGCCTGCCTGTAATTCTCTGACCCTGTAAGTTCAAGTTAAAAAAAAAACATTCTTGTTACACTGTTCTCAGGTTTTCCCATTGTATGTCCTATTCAGAGCCAGCATCTTTTCTCACCTCAACCAGTGTCTTTTCTCACCTCTTAACTCTTTCCGCCCCAAACCACGCACTATACATGACTGTGTTGTATACACAATGTATCAATCAACATGTTATGTATGTGTTTGCAGCTTACGTCTAGTAAGCGACTCTGAAGAACTCTTACAACATATATGTTTCCTGCAAGGTTTGCATTTTCGGCCCCTCTGGACGTAGTATACCCATGAGTTTTCTGTTGTCATTCTTAGTTCCTCGGACACTAGCTAGGGCCTTGTGGGACTGAAAGAGTTTTTTGAGTGGAATTTGTTTAGTTCTCACTCGAAGCTCTATATCTACATTGTGATCAGTTAGTGATCAGAGCAAAGAGCACACATTTTTTAGGATGTCTAATAAATTACACATGGGAGTATAAACATCTACTATGTAACATAATTTTTTGTTTGTTATTAAATTAATCCTATGTAAATATGTTCCTGTAATTAATACTAAATATTTATTTCTCTTTTTAGAAATTGTTTGCACAGTTCGTTTTTTCCGTAACTGGTAAGGGGCTAGACAAGGCTGCGAAAAAGAAGAAAAAGGCCTAATATCTTTTATTTGGAATGAAATAACGTTATACCTCGTACAAATGTCGCTACCTGATTTTATGCTAAGTGTATAAGGTACATACTTGGTTAGTTCCGGTATTCAAGTTCCGCTGTTTTATTTTTTGTCAGTTTTAATTTTTTTTTTTTTTTTTAGTTGTAAGTTCTTTTGCCTTGTTGAAAAAATATTGCATTCTGATTATGAAATAATTTGAATTATGCTTGTTTTTCAGATTTTAAAACTGGTGTTTTTACAATACTAAATCTTCCTGATCTTAAGCTTAATGAAAGCTTATAAAAATGCTCATAAAAATGCATGTTTCAGTGAAAATTAAACAGATTACAAGCTACAAATTTGATTTTATAAAAGCAGATTAAAATAATTTTGAAAAGCAGTTCCTTAGTTTTATAAAACAATCTAGAGGAAACTCGAGAATACAACACACACAAATAGTTACATCTGTAGACCTTTTCAAATGTCATAATTTCCTGAGAAGGTTAATTCCGGCCAAAAATGCCTGGAGAAGTTGGGTGTGTCGGCCAAAAGTTGCAAATAATGCACACTTGTTGTAAACGGACACAGCGCATTTACATCTTCAACTGATAGTGGAAGATAAAGTAGATGGTCATAGTTTTAGATACATGTAGTGCTTGAAATTTGTTGATCAGTTAACGAGTAAATTGTTTTGTTTATTTAAAGATGATGATGGTTTGGGTGTTAATACCATTGTTGAGCAAGTAAATTTCCCATTTACCCTGGTGAAAAATACAAAAGGGACAGGGGGATGTTAACAGATGTTAGAAATTGAAATTATTTTTTTTTTAAATTCCAGTATGTCTTGGCAGCCAATAAACTGGACATTTTGTTTGTAAAATGTTATAAGGACCAATTTTTAAACCATGAGTTTTAAAGAGCAGTCAGCACTCAGCCGCCTTTACTTCCCCAGAACATTTCAGGGTAGACATTTTTAGGATGAATCAGCCTGGGAACCCGGGTCAGTTATTGTTAATCCTCTTTAACGAAAATCTGGCATTATGAAGTTAGATAAGCTAGTGTGCTCGACAGCATGATATTGTCATAGTCAACATGAGTTTACTTTGTGTTTTTTCAATTGTTTCTTATAATGTAATTACCGTTTAACTAATAGCTAGTAAAGTTGTTTCTAATTTTAAAATTTTAACTTACATTTTTTTGGGTCTGTTTTTCTCTTTACAGGAGCAGTTCTCAAGATATCTGGTAGGCAATAACTAAAACTGCACACAGGAAAACTGAAACAAGAATCAAGCTGTCAAATTAACTTATATTTTTATTTGCTTTTCTCATCAGATTTAGTCAACTGTCTATATTCCTTATGAAACCTAATATCCACAATATTGAGATTACACATGTGTAAGATTGATGTTGAGAAAAATATTTATTTCCGCCTTTTTATATTGATATCAATGAAACATTATTCTCTCGGCTGTAACACGTTGCTGCTCATTATGTCATTGTAAAGTTATTCCTCATTCTAAATGCTGTGTTAAATACCAAAATTGATATACTATATCAATTTTTTTTAAACAAAAAACAAAACAACAAAGATCATTCTTTCACTAAAATTCCAGTTACAAGAATCAACTTCAGCTTATTGGGATCATTACTGAATTTTGTAAACTTTACATTTCTCATCAGTATACAAACATATATTTATATTGATCAGTGGCTTTGCAGAAACTGCAGTCTGTTTTCAATGTGGTTTTTTTTTTTTTTTTCACATGGGACACTGATGGCCATTCTGTGTGGTTTTTGCTCGCACAGGAATGGAGCAACTATAGGGTGACTCATTTGCTATGAATTGTAACTTTGATTAACTCATTGATCGATGAACTCTTTAAATAAGTAATTGACCGTTTAACTGTTAGTTTCCACTGAGAGAGCTGAGATTAACATTTCCGCCTACTGTTTATAGCTATGTCAAAATGCTCCATTTTAAAATGAATTCATAAAAACTAGGAACTACATTATTTATGAATTTCTTTAATTTATATACCTTCCCGGTCAGTTAATTTAAATGTGGTGCATTCATTTAATCAATACAAAACACAAAGCAAAATAATATGTCAATATACATGGTGATGCTGATTTTCTTTTTTTTTTTTTACATTGTCTACATCTCTGAAATTTTTTTTGTCAGCCATGTTTTTTTTTTTAAAGGTTCGAAGAATTGTCATGCTTAAACGCTGACATTCCACGCTGTTGTTATCTGAAATGATTAACTTTATTTTGACTTGGTTTCTATTACAGCATCAACATATTATTTTGGTCCACTATTGATTTTGAATGCAACACTTAAACGAATACTCATTCATTTTATTGTGTGCCAGTTGTGCACTTCTTTATTTATATTTAAACACAACGAATATCTTTCTTTACCACTGTATGATTGCTTATTCACATAAATGTAACTCTTTCATTTGGTACTGCATACACGAGAAGAAATACCCATATATTTCATTATGAGCACATTTCATGACGTAACAATGGATTATTCATTATGCAGCACTGCACAAAATAACACCTTTTTTTCAAACTTATGCACACAGTTTATAGAAAATCTTCATAAATAGTCACCACTTTTTTAATTTTTACCTTAACTGTTGACTTTTTTTTAAATAATAAGATGCAATAAACAACAGCCGGTTATTTTTGTTTAACATGTATAATCTGCTAAAATATAGGGTTTGTTCCAGAACATTTGTGATAGTAACTGTTGCTATTGCTGTAACTAAGCAAATGCAGTCTTGCATCTCTCCCTAGCCTCAGTTTGTCACTGGGATCTTTGTGTGTTTAAACAGCCTTCAATGTTTCTCACAAAATTTAAAATGTGGTAATGTTGAGTGAAGACCTCACCATTGTAAATTATGCATAATCGTTTTATTTTTTTTTAACGCAAAATCGAAGCTTTAGTTTTTAAAAAAAAACACAAAATCTGTTGATTTTTCTCAAAATTAAAATCTCTGGATATGTATTTTGAACAGGAAAATGTCACGTTACTACTTATGTTGATCATGATCATAATTGTGAATGCACTGAAGAAAATGCTAAAGTGAAGATAAACTACGTTTTCTTTTAACATGAAAAATATATAATCTGTGTAAAATGGTTTATGCTATACACTATTGTTATTGACGCCATCTAAGACCAGAATACAATCAAAATGATTATGATTTTCACAAGTAAAATTTCTTTTACTGTTTATATGAGTCATTAATTCTGTAAAAGTTGTTTATCTTTGCTGGTTTTATTTTCTGATAATTCCTGGTGAATGATAATTTAACCAGAAATAACAATAAAGAAAGGATACAGTTACTGATATATAAAGTCTGTAATAAGGTGTGGTCTTTTTTTTTTCCTCAGATAACCAAAATTAATTTTTCATACAATTCATGAAAGTTTTGACAGCTGGATTATTTTTGCATTCTTTACACATGTTAGGGTGCACCCGCATGCGTGTAGAGGTGTCAGTGAGTTTTTCTGATGTAATTTTTTTTTTTTTTGTGAAGAAAATTAATTTTATTCACATTTACCCTTAGCTCATTTTATTTTTAATATAAAGACACCTGACTGACAACGTTTTGACAGCAGTTGTCTATTATATTAATGTCACAGATTTTGTGAATGACAAATTTATGTTGCATAGTCACATACATTTTTTATATTTTCATTGTGTCTATTTAGACTGATTTTACAAACTTTATAAATGACAAATTTTGACTGTTTACATTATCCTCATTTTACATAATCTGTGAATGGAATGTTTGGGTTTAGATTAAGTATATTGATTCAATTTAATTTGTAAATGACTAGCTTAAGTTGTTTGGAAGATAATATGTGCACTGATATTAAAATCTATATTTCTAATGTCATCACCGCATAAATGATGGAAATGGTGGAGAATGAGAAACAACATTGAAATTCATAATGTTTATGTCAACATGAATTACTTATATCATTAGGGAGTATAGAGATTGGAGTATGGAGAAAAATGGCAGTATACAAACAAAAATGCGAACACAAAAGAGCTGACTGGGAGTAAACCATGAGGCGGGCCAAGATCATGGAGAGATAACAGGCCTTACAAAACTTGAAGTCAATAATTAGAAAGAAAATTTCAGTCACTTAGATAAGTTGAGGCAAATAATATTTGCAGCAGTGAACCTCAAGGACTCAGAAGGCTGAAGAAGTAGAAAAAAAGTTTATAATTGTAAAGTTTGCAATCATATTATTGGAAACATATCTTGATTGCACCAAATTATACAAATATTTAGTATCTAGATTTAGAAACCACATGCTCTATCTGTTCTCAGACAGCTGTTACATGTCTAAATGAGTGTTTCTGAACTCAATGATTAAAGTAATTTTTTTTTTTAAAGAAATTGTATTTTAGAACAAAAATTTATTTTATTTGTATCGTAAATGATGTGTCTAAGAAATTTGCATTTTAACCATTTACTTTTATGATAATAATATATATATATATATATATATATATATATTTTTAAATTATGTACTTTATGAACTCTTTATATTTCGCTGGTTGCACTGTTATATTTTTCTTACTTCTGCCTTGTTAAACAAGATGCTACCTTTAAGGGTATATCCCACTAACTATTACCTATAGGCATAATTTGCGAGCCATGCAAGCCTCATGGCTAGCACTCTCACCTTTGGGCCTAAAGAGTCATGATGCTGTGATTTTAACAAACTGAGCTGGGTTCCCAAATTGAGGGTTCCCAAATTGATCATACTAAGTAGGTACTGGGAAATGTTCTGGGAACTAAAGGCAGTTGGCATGATATTGACCTTATTCCCTAATATGTATCAATTGCTCTAAAAATATGGGGCTGGAACCATATTCACATTACGCTTGGAGACACAGAAAAGGCTCCTTTAATTGACATAATTATTCTATGATATATACTTTCCCCTTCTGTGCTTGCTACTGAAGATGGGAATGGGGTGATTATGGGAAGTCTCAAGTACTGTGATGTCAATTTTTTATTCAACATTCATCATATTTTCTCCTGACATTTTGTGATAAAATAATGTTTACTTCTGTCAACAAGCATATGTGATGTATTTAAGTACATTTGCTTAGTCGACAAAAGCATCTGTTACTCAAACCTGTTTGCTGACTAGTCAATAAATTTCATTTTATTTTGTTTAATTTGTGTGTGTTATATTACATCTCTGAGAACATTGCTTATTTGTAATATTTATTTTCAAATGTGCTGTTTTTCTTTTTATGCATGCCCACTAGTTTGCATAAACCAAATTTAGCAGTCAGTTGACTTTCCCTTCTCATCTCATCTCTTGATCCACTGGTACCTTGCAGTGTCTTGAAAAGTCTGCCTCAAGAAACTATCTTGGCTGTGCACACCAGGACATACCAGTTGACAGCCTTGCGGTGTTGAGATGATGTATAATTTAAAGGAAGATGCCCGTTTGTGCACTTCGTAAATGGGAACGCCTAGGGACTACGTTATTCCGTCTGTCCATTGTTTGCATGATTGGCCTCTTCTTCACTTCCAGCCTGGTCTGTACATCATTGCTTGCTATGGTGTACTGTTTTTTGGCATCCACGTTATATGACCAAACCATTTCACCTGTTGTCTTCTAATGAAATCCAGAGCTGTTGCTACCCCCACTTTCCTTCAGATTTAATCATTCTTGATCTTATCTCTTATTGTTATATAAGAGCCCTTTATAGAAATCTCGTTTCAGTTGTAAATTGTCTTTTCTCTTTCTGATGTCATTGTCCAGGTCTGGCATTGACAGCACAGGGTTGGCAAGAAGATTGTGTTATAGAGAGCTCTTTGGTTTATAATGACACTTGTTTGTTTCTTAGTATTTCATTGATCTCATCTTCTGTTTTGCTGGCTAATGATATTATACATCCTAAGTATTTGACTTTTCCTTGCTAGTTAGAAATTATATTCTGTAAAACATTACTTATTGTCAATGCAAATTACTTACTTCCTTTTTCTTCTTATTTTCTTCTTTTTAGTATCATGCAGTGGAGCATAGTCCCTCAACCAACATCATGCCATACCTTTCTGTCCTTTGTTATTTCTTGCAGTTCATTCCTTGTCTTGCCATATTATTTATCTCTGTCCATCTTCTGTTTATATCCCAATTACAAACCTGAAGGTCAAATAGAATATTTTCTGCAAATTACTACCACTACTACTTCCCTTTTTGTTTTAGGTCTCTTTGTGTCTCTTGCCTTGAAGGTTCAAGAAGATAGACTTTCTAGTTAAACTGTAGCAGTTTTTTCAGTATGTCTCATTTATTTAGAAAAAACTTTTATATTATAAAAACAGTCCAATAGTCTGATATAGTAAAATATTAAATAGCATCCTGATGGCACCAAAAGGAGTGTAACTATGTAAATTAAAGATGGTGGTTGATCACGTTTAACCTCCTGCCAGCAGTTTTCTGTACTCACCTCACCTACTGACCTGGTACTTATTTGAGACTGTGACTATAAATTGTCCTTAGTTTCGATATTTTTTTTAAAGATGTTCTTAATTGTACTGATTTTCAAGCTTGTAAATTTTTATAAATGTCTCTTTAACTTCAGCTTAGTTTTAACGTGTCATCAAATAGTGATATGTAAATATATTTGCACTTCTAAAAGCTTTTACATCACACAGAAATGTTCTGTTACTTTTTCATACAGGTGTGATAAATTATATTTTCTCCATATTGTGGTCATGACTACAGAGTTGCTTTTTTAATAATTATTATTTAATTTTGAAAAACAAATCTGCCTATGGCACGTTTATTTACCGCACACAAATTAATTAATCATTCTCCATTTTTGTTTTCTACCTAAAGTCCTTGTTTCCCCAAGATGTCTTGATAACCCATATTATCTTGGCATACAAGTCACCCATTAAAACTGTGATATTGCTGTTTGCTTGACAAATGCTAGTTCTTTGAAGTTTAATGCACATTTCCTCTCTGATCCATACTTTTCATTTGTTTGGTTGTGATTCATGCTTATTTTTCTGTTATCTTTGCTATATTATATTTATGGGGAAAGGGGGGGGGGGGGGGGGGGTAAGGTCCTCAATGTTGCAGTTTTCTTCTAGGATCTAAACTCACTGCATCCTACTTCACTAGTAATTTTTCTACCTCTTTAGATAGTGTTAGGGCAACTCACTGATTGTCAAGGGCATTTTCCTCAACAGTTTCATCCCTTTTTAAAAGCATTTTATCTGCTGCCTTCCATCTTGTTACATTACTGCATACATACACATGTGATTGTGGCAGACTTTGGGGAAATCCTGTTGGGAAAGGTGGGGGGTGGGGGGGCTAGAACGGGGTTGCTTTGAGCGGAGTGGTGCACTTCACTTGGAAGGATCTGAGCATGAGCATACTTTAGATCTGTTCTCCGAGCCATGCAGGCATGGTCGGGCAGACGAATTGGCTGGATTTGCGCCACTGGGTGGTGAATTGGTTCATGGCGGGACAGATATGGTCGAACAAGTAATGCAGTCAGAAGAAAAACTGGATTGTTATGGCCTGGAGAGAATGATGCACCTAAATGTGACCGGATGGTCTGGCCGGCTCACTACACTCAGGTGAGGGGCAGAACGGACATATAACCAGACTGCAGCCAGTACATTTGATATGGAAATTCTGGGCTGGCTGCTGAAGATGGGGACAGAGCACCTGTGGGAAAGCCCTGAGTGCTGCGATATCAATTCTTGACTCAACTCAACTCAGTTCACCTTGTTACAATATCCCAAAATGCTTATTTTATAATGTTTCATTTTCTTTCCACTTGTGTTGTCTTTTTCAGTCATAAATAGTTCTGTTGTTCCAGTTTCTAGTTCTGAAAATTTTACTTGATGAAAAAAGGTAATTGAGTAATCCAGACGCTTTAGTTGCCTCTAATGACACACTTGGTAGTATATAGTGTTATTCTTTGCTTCATGCTGTTGATAATATCCTTTAACAAATGCCAATTAGTCTAAGCAAATTATAGGTCTGGTACCATATGTCTGTTGTACCAAGGGCGTGAAAAGGGTCCTTAACTTTT